TATATTGCAACAGTCGTCATTCCTAGCCTCTCCATAATGCATCAAAGAAAATTTTAAATATACAGAGTCTCATATTAATAAAACTTGGACACAAATGATTTAACAATACCCTGTTTAAAACCCTAGTGCAAATGACTAAATCATGCGGGTACATCTCAAAACTGAATAAGCATAATTACTATTTATATTATTTGTTGCTGGGCCTGGGAAAATGTATAACAAAATGTGAGTAACTCAATCTCACATGCTCTTCTCTCATTGCTTATGTGATTAATATTTACATTATACCAACTGACTTATGGTCACAATTTAATCAATATTTTTAAAAAACAGTATGAAGCTCATTTTGATCAGTCTGTTTTTGTTGTTAGTGGAAATAGGTGATACTCTATCATGAGACTGATGAAAATGACTTACTTGATACTTTCTGCTGCCCAAGTAGCAGTTTTTCATGAAGTTAATATCATTTAATGTAATTTCTAGTAAACAATTTTCTTAGAAATTCAATTGTAGATGAAAGTATTGCAATGGAGTTGAGGTGTAAATTTCATGGATTTAAAGGTGATCAATTGTTTATTACTCCATGTTTAACCCTAAAAACAAAAACAATTTTGGCACCTTATTTCAGAATGTGCTGAGCTCCTGAAACTCACAAATATATCTAGCACCTCTAAGGTCAGGCCCTTAATAATCTGAAGTAATGGAAGTAGTGTCTTGGGGGGAGGGGGAGGGGAAATCACTTTATCACATATGCTTACCAACACAGAAATTTTGAAGCTCTCTGCTTATGCCTTACAAAAATTGGAGAATATAAAGCACGAACCTCTCATTTAAATACATAGTGTTATACTATAGTCTTGAAATAAGCTTCTAAAGATTTCAATGTAAACCCTTAGATCGTACTGTATAGTAAAGGCAGTAAAATCAAATGATAGCAATTGTGGTTGGTAGTACAAATAGATTTGAGAATTTTACCTTAACAGGTGAATTGCAATGATTTAGTCCTTTTAAAAAAAAATTTATCTTTGAAAACTTCTCAAACATGAAAACAGCGAGGAGTCTGGTGGCACCTTAAAGACTAACAGATTTATTTGGGCATAAGCTTTCATGGGTAAAAAACCCACTTCTTCAGATGAAGACTAATGGATGAAGAAGTGGGGTTTTTACCCATGAAAGCTTATGCCCAAATAAATCTGTTAGTCTTTAAGGTGCCACTGGACTCCTCATTGTTTTTGTGGATACAGAATAACCCAGGCACACCTCCTATACGCATAACA